GTCTTACAGTGTCAATAAGTATTTCAAGGGAGGTGCAAATTTATTCATATAAAATATGTGTCACCTCTGGGCGAACTGCTGTTAGTGAGGGGGGCAGCAATGAGGTCGGTCGAGTAGGGCGGACAGCTGGTATAACAGCAGCCGACTCGTCGGCTGCTGTGAATGGTCGCTGAGGTGCCGACCTAGGTCCCTATGGAATGTGGTATATAAAACAATTAGTGTTTTCCAAAAGAAACATTGTGGCATGGATTGGTTTAATCTTACCAAATTCACAGAAGTCTCCGAATCGGATGAAGAAACGTCTTCCATTTCTGGAGGTTGGGCTGCCACATGTGGTTCTTCTGCCTGCCACTCGATTGCTGGAGGTAGCGCCGCTGCTGGCTGGGCGGCTGCAGGTTGGGCGGCTGCATCTAGTGCCACTGCAGCCGGGATCTCTGGAGCATCTGGGATAGCCGCAGCTGGGGCACTTTCGGTTCCCAGTGCGGCTGCATCCGATTGGACGATTTCAAGATCAGCAGTATCAGGGACGTCATCTTGAGGGTCAGCTTCGGCAAGGGCACCTGGTTCTTCCTTCGAAATGGATGAGTCGGATGCCATGTATGGCGGGCGACCCATCTGGGAAGTAGTCCCCTCGCTGTCTGAAGAGACCCCTGCTGCTGATGCGATTGGTGACGGTGTCTGTGAAAAATCATAGAAATGTTGTTGTTAAATATACCAAGGTTGGTCATTAGAATCCTAAGTATTGCTGATGAGAGGACTTACTGGTTCTATAGGCAGTTCCTGTAAAGATTGCCTCCTGGTCGGGTGCCTGGCCCGACCACTCCTCGGTACGGGAGGAAGAGTTTGCCTCCTCGGTACGGGAGGAAGAGTTTGCCTCCGCCCGACTGCTCATTGGAAAATTGGTCTGGACCAAAGGTCCGATTGAATGGTCGGCTGGGGCTGGCGTCGGTTGTGTGGTCGGTGTCACCAAGGTCGGTTCTGGTGAATGAAAAAAGTAGAATCAAAGTTACGATATAGTGAATTGGTTCACGGTGTTAAGAATGAAAAATTACCAATTCGGGGTCGGGTCCTTGCTGACGTCCTAGTAGTTCCAAGGTCTGCTGGTGCTTGCTGGTCGGCCCCAGAGGTCGGGGGTGTTTGCAGCTTGGAAGCTTTTCTTTTTCGCACTGGAACACTAGACCCGATTCCCGGGGCGGCTGTTTGTTGCTGAGTGCTAGTATGTCTAGCCGCCCCTAGAACCAATCCTTGGGGGGGAAGGAGTATGTTCAGCAACCGATCCTCATTAGGGGAAATCAGGGGCCATACAACCGACCACCATTCATTGAATGTATCTACAGTCTCAGGGTTGGAGCAGAAAGGAATATAAGAATTGGAAATTATATACGTGGTGAGCTGGGAGATATAAGAGGGGATTGAATTAGGCAGGACTCGTCGGTCCGGACTTTGAAAAATTATATGCGGACAAGCGACGGGTCCAGGGATACCTTGGCAACAGCCGAATTGGCGCGCCATGAATTGAGGTTCATAATTAAAAGTGTAAAAGGTTTTCTGCCCTTTTTTATCAAGTTTTTTGCTGCTAAAAAGAGACCTGGGTTTGAGGGCAACGTCCCAGGCAAAAGGATAGGTGGGATGAGCACAGGGCTCAGGAGTCGGAAGAGGATTTGCTGCTGGAAAGGGCCAAAAATGGTCGGGAGCATAACCCGCATATTTTTTATACATAGAAAATCGAGAGTTACTGCGGGTATCTGTTACAATTGCAGTTATTATTGGATCGGAAGATTGGAGTTTATTGCGTCCTGAGCAGAGTCGGTTGAGGGCTAATCCCAAATGTTTTTCGGATGTTGGCATAGTGGGCGGAGATCCTAAGTTGAACGCGTTAGGGAAGTAAAGACGGAACCAAAGTTCTAAAAACCAAAAAGGACCCGATGCAGCAGTGTCTAATTTTCTACTATCATTATCTGTGAGACGAAGGCTAACTCTAGTAAGTCCTTCAAACAGATTGGCTAAAAACAGGGTGCCAAGGGAAAAGAACCGACCTGACGCGATATGAATGGCCAGGTCGAGATGAGAAGGAAGAACACATTTGGAAGGGGAAACAATGACGTACCTACAAAGCCAAAAAAGGATAAAGGCAGTATGCTCCCGGTCGGTCACGGGGGTCCCTGGAGCCCCTTGCTGGTCGGTTGCGAACTTTGTCCAGCCCCATTCCTTCACACCTTGTAAAGACCACCCTGGATGGTCTTCTGATGGCTCCTGCCCATCTAGGGCTGGGAGATGCGCGATCATTGCCACATCCATGAGAGTTGGACCAAAGGGGCCAGATGGTAAGAGAAACGTCCCATTTTCCGCATTCCAGAAGGCAGACATGGCCAACAGCACCTTCTCATGCAGGTTGATAGGCATGGTGGACAATAGTATTGCCTGGTCGATTTTTTGAGATCGCCATTGGGTCTGGAAGTGTTCTGCTACCCGTCGATACCAAGCGCGGTAAGGATCTTTTGGGTCCGTGAGATGAGTTTTGATGCTGTCTCGAATACGAACTGCTTGGTAGTTAGGGTTGTTGATGGCCAAGGAATTTCGGGATTCCAAAACTTCCCTCATCCGATTTGAATCTTCAGGAGTAGTGCAATATGGGCGGATCGTCGGAGTTAGTACTTTCGAGGCTGAAAATGGGCCCTCTGGGAGGGTTCCGTCGAAAGGAAGGGCAGGAATGTATTGATTCGCCATGGTTAGAGTGTTTTGGGATTGTGATTCACAAAAGCTTGTATTGCGGGGAAGGAAGTTAATCAGGAATGTTGCAGTAACTGGTGCAGTTGCTAAGGGAATTTTTCAAGAGGGTAGTGATGTGTGAACTTCCAAACATTGATTGTTAAATGGCGTTTGAAAGTCCCTTGGCGGCGGGCAAGTTGTTACGTACGAAATTTAGAATTAGGTTAAAAGCCCAAGGTAAAAAGAAGAATGGGCCTGACAATAGAGTTGGTTGAACTAGCTGAAGGACGCCGTGTGGAAATCAAGGAAAATACAGGACGGAAGGTTTTCAGGTCGGGAGGTCCTCAAGACGGAAAGTCATCAGGACGGAAGGACCTCAGGTCGGTAGGTCCTCAAGACAGAAAGACCTCAAGTCGGAAGGTTTTCAGGTCGGGAGGTCCTCAAGACGGAAAGTCATCAGGACGGAAGGACCTCAGGTCGGTAGGTCCTCAAGACAGAAAGACCTCAAGTAGGAAGGTTTTCAGGTCGGGAGGTCCTCAAGACGGAAAGTCATCAGGACGGAAGGACCTCAGGTCGGTAGGTCCTCAAGACGGAAAGACCTCAAGTCGGAAGGTTTTCAGGTCGGGAGGTCCTCAAGATGGAAAGTCATCAGGACGGGAAGTCCGCAGGTCGGGAGGCCCTTAGGACGGGAAGTCTGCAGGTCGGGTGGCCTTCAGGACGGGAAGTCCGCAAGTCGGGAGGTCCTCAGGTCGGGAAGTTCTCAGGTCGGAATTCTGCGGCAGAACCAGCAAATCGGGTGGTTTGTTAGTCGGGATGTCTGTAGCTAATCCAAACAAGTCAGATGGTTTGCAAGTCGGGAGGATTGGCAGTCGGACCCATACTATTGTAGATTGGCAGTCGGGCCAAAAGGGCGGAAGGTCTGTGGTCGGTTCAAAGAGTGAAATATAGGGATAATTTTGGTCTGCTGAGGACACGTGTCAGCAGGAGAAGGGTTGGAAGACGGTTGGGAAGGAGACGTTGTAACCGTTCGGGCGACGGTTTTCAGTACAGTTTCTTCAAAGAATATTTAAGGATTTGGATAATCATTTGGCAAGGCATCTTCAATCAACTTCAACAAAGCAAAGTCAGATTTGGGGATCACCACTTTAAATTTCAGTCTTTTATTTTCTAGTTTATTTTATGTACCGTACAGTGTTTAGAGATTCCTAATCTCAGGCACTAATTAATCAAGTTTAAGGATATTTTCTATATCTTTGAATTTTACTTTATTTTTGTTGAAAAATTACATCAACACTACCCAATTTAGTAGATTTTTTTTTTCAACGACCTTTGCTTCAAGAATAATATTTATATTGCATTCATATTTAGTTATTTCTTATCTTTTCTAATTACACGCTTCTTCCTTGCAGCTTTCCAATGCTTTCGAAATGTTTGTACAAAACAGTTGAATAAAAATATTGTGTCCTTGGAACTCCTCTCGCCAACTCCCCTCCTTCCCCATAGGTTTCAAGTAAGTCTTCTAATATTTTGTTCAATTATGCATTTTTGAGGAGTTTTTGGATATCGAGGACATTGTGGTTCTTAAGTGTTCCATTATTAGTTTCATTCTTAATTTTATATCTATAACACTAATTAAATTACTTATAAATTTCTATATCTTCAATAAATACTGTGGTTAAGATCGAAAGAGTATAAAAAAAATAAATTATTCATATTTTTAGTAAGCTAACTTTTTATTAATTTATTTTTTTATTAAATTTATAATTTTAAATAAATTTATTTTAATATATTTATCTTTAATAAAAGAATATGTAATAATGTATATAAATTAATTAATGATATTAATATTTTTATTTTGCTTTTATTTTAATAAATTTAAATATTTTATAAATAAAATAATTTATATAAAAAAATAATAATTTTAATTACTTTAAATTTATAAAAATATATTTATAAGTTATTAAAAAAATATTAAAATAATTAATAAATACTGTAATAAATATTTTATTAATTTGTGAATTTAATATTTAATTTCGAATAAAAAATTAAAATAAGAAAAGCACTGGAAATATTGAGCTTAAAATATGAGCTTTTTCGATATTTTTTTTAAAAAAAAAACTAATTTATCAAATATTTGAATTAAATCAAATTTTGATTGGTCAAAATAGTTATAAAATTTTAAAAAATTAATTTACCGAACACTTAAATTATTCGATCAAAAAAGTAACCTCTTAAAGTTTCATGCACTATATATCTAACAATTTAAAATAACAATAATAAAAATACACGAATGGACACCAACTCTTTCTTCTTCTTCATAAACATCTAAAATTATTAACGTAAATTATAGTGACACAGTAAGAAGCAGGCAGGGAAAGCATTGCCATTTATCTACATCTATCTATCTATGCCGAAGCAGACAGACAGACAGACATAACAAACAAGAGAGAGAGAGAGAGAGAGACAGACTGAGACTAGTAAGTAGCAAGTGATGTGGTGTGATGCCTGCCCTCTCTCTCTTTCATTTCACAAATAAATAGATCTATCATCACTTGTTTGTTTGTTTTCTTACTCAGACCCATATTTCAGCAGTTCCCACCTGAATGGCCTGCACGAGTAAAGCACCTCCGGCGAGCTCTTGAAGAGTAGAGCAGCACATACGCACACTGCAGCTATTGCTACCATTGACAGCATTGCCGGTCTATATATCGACACCCCGCGTGCTCTCCTTGGCACCCTGCCATATGCCAACTTCTCCTCACATTGCCTGCATTGCATGTGGAGTCTCTTCGCCACTTGGAACACGCTTCCACTTCCACTTCCAATTTTCTCATGACTTACAGGGATATCAACAACAACAACTTGTTGTCCATTCCCCGGTTGTTGTTTCTGCTGCAGCCGCTGGTTCACTTTCCGCTGCACTAGTTGGACGTATGTATAATGACCGCGCAAACATGCATAGTCATGTGGAGTTAATCCCATGCGGTCTTGAGCACTCTTCCATGCTTCAATTCCCACCTAATACACGACACACCAAAAACACAAGCTACTAAAACACAAGCTACTAAGGGGTGTGTTTGTTTGGGGGTTTGGATTTTGAGTTGGGATTTGAATAGTAAAAATTTTGAATTTAAATAATTGTATGATGTGATATAAATAGGTGTTGATGTGATGTTTTGAATGTAAAATTGATTTTTAGTATAATATAAAAAATGAAAAATAGGTGTTTGATTTGATGTTTTTTAGGGAAAAAAAATGAGATGAATAGTGAAAGTTAAATCCAATCCCCCAAACAAACGCACCCTAAAACACTTGAGAGCAACTCATCTAACTATTATCATCTCTTAGACGACTAACTAAAACTATGCGTAATAGGCAGTGATGATTTGACCCAATCAATACACATAATGAAGACTGTCAACACATGTTCTATATAGCACAATACAATGTTGTTCCATATAGAAGCATATGCAGTGAAGTTTTATATTTGTGATATGTTATATAAATTTGTTTATTTATTATGATGACTCAATAATATATTATGTCATATCAAGTGCTCTTAAAAGATATGCTATATAGAGTTATATCATAAACTATCAAGTATATGTTGTATGTCTTGATTATATGTGTTGATAGGATCAAATCAGCAGCGTTAGCACTCAATGCATGAAATGCACACATTCATTTGATTTGACCCCTTCAGCACTCAAACCAAAACCATACATAATAAAAATGCATGAAATGCACACATTCACTTGCAGGTCAGTCAGATGCATTATAGATTGGGAAAAGAAAGCTAAGAATAAAGAGAGAGCATACCGATCCAGGTCCGGGATCTTCAGTTAATGCATCCACCATACTCTCGCAGCCATCCAAACTGGCTGCTACATGAAGAGGAGTCAACCCACCAGGACCCACTGTATCAGGCCTAAACAGAACTTGTTTCTGTTTTGCCCCTGTTTCATCCAGAGCTCCTTTTGGTTGGTATGCTAACAAAAATTCTACCATGGGCCTGCTATTTTTCCTGACAGCTAAGTGAAGCGGTCCAATATCCTGCAACGCAACTGAAATGGAAGCGTACTGCCCAGCATCCACAATACCATCCGACAGGATGTCTAAAAGTTTTTTCACCACAGCACACCAATCCTGATCAATGGAAAATTCCATAAGCCATCTGAAGCGTTTGAATGGAAATAGATTCACATCACCCTTGATTTCTTCTAATCTAGACAACAAGCTACTTTTATGGAGCAGCCATCCCATTTCATGCATGAAATCCAAAGCCCGTTTCCTGGCTTCAAGTTTGTTACCATTTTCACAAGAAACTTCAGACACCTCAATGATGCTCTCCAGGTTACAAATATCTGAGCAGACATCCTTTTCAGCCACAATGAATGGAAAGAAGCTGCTACTGAGGCCATGGTCTTCTACCACCTAAAAAATGGTGAAATGATTGCAAAGTTCAGTATGTGGAGAGTGTGTCCACATAGGATAGCATTCACAACATTGAGAAAAAAAGAAAAAGAAAACACAAAATGGAGGAAACAAGTCATGGAATGAAGTCTCACCTCAATAAATCCCCTCCCAAGAACTTGAGGAATAGCACAAGAAAAGCTAAGAGACTCAATCTCTTCATGCTCCACAGATAACTCAGCTCTTGTAACGTCAGCACAACTTTCATGTAAAAGGTACTGCCCTTCAAGAGCACAGAATACCCTGAGAAGATCCAACAAAGGCTCATGCGCCGCTAAAGCAGACTCCAAGTTTAATTGGGGTCATCAAAGATCACATAACTCAAACAAACATCTTCAAAACCAAGCAACCAACAATATTTCCATGCTAAATAAACTTGCATACCTTGATGTAGAAAGAGATAAATTGAAACCTTTCACTACAAAACGAGCAGCTTCTGAAATTGAAACAGCAAGAGGAGTGATGCTTGATATTCTACAACTCCCATGGATTTTTAGGGGTAGGGGTGTGCCTACAACAACTTGACCTGCATTGAAACAGAAGTTTTTATCCTAAGCATCTTGAGAGTGATTTTTCAACTCTTAAGAAGTAAAATGATGGATAATCTATTAGTACAAACATAGAGTATAAATTCAACTACCATTATATGCAAAAGTAGCATGATCCTGTACTCGTGCATATATCCATCCAGTTCTCCAAAATGAATCTTGAGACGAATCCAGAAGCCTTCTCAAACAGAAATTTAGATTGTAGTACAGCTGCAGGTACGTACAATAATTAAGTTTTGTGCAGAAAGAAGCCTGGTGCTGATCCCAGAATTATCACTTTAAACATGAGATTCATCTGACAAATACTCAGCTAAATACCACATCAATTGTGGTATGTAGACCACATCAAGAAAATATTAATCATTTATAGCATCAAGCAACAATAAATAGACAATCAGGAATCCATTTTGGGCCAGTCGCTAACCTCCTCCCAAGTGGTCACATCCATGGATGCATATATTGTCAGAACAACACAACCAGGTCGAATGTAGCTTTCTATGTCCATAGGGCTACTGGATAGCCAATCAATAATCTGAAATTACATAGGCAAATTACATTTACAACCTGAAGTATGCGAAGTGTATAGGAAAATACAACTCAGGCTCAGGACACGGACCTGCTTTCTTATGACAAGAGGAAATTCACTTGGATCTTTGCCAAAAAGTTTAAAAACAATCCGATCAGTACGACTCTGAAAACAAATACACATTAGTGTAAGAATAAAATAAATAAGTGGCACCAATCCAGATTTTTAATCTAGTATCTCAAATTAAGCCTACTTTTACATACTTCAAATCTAAAAAGATGGTATTCTATTTAAACTTTTCTTTAAATCTATGTAATACATTATGGCCTAGGAGAAACTGTTAGATTTTGGAAGAATTTTGAATTGTTCATAAGTAATGAAATCAAGGCTTATAGCATGGTATAAAAGGATAAACTCAAATAATAACAACATAACATATAGTAGATATGTCTTAATAATAACCACCAAATCTATATAATATTAACTAAAATATATATATTTAAAATATATTTCAACATCTTAAACTCAAGATAGTTCCATAGAAGCCATCTTGAATGTTGGGAAGAAAGACCGGAGGCGACGGACTTCATTATTGGGCATCAATCTTAGGCCATTCAAATTGGGCATCACTTTAAACCATTCAAGTCGATATTTTGTCATGGCAGTAGTGCTGGCAATGCTTGTCACAGCGAGGGCTCTAATTAACGCTTTGGGTTTTTGGTGGCAGCGGCACTGGCGATCCTAAACCCTAAGAATTAGGTTTTGACCAAATTAGAGTTTATGGTGGCGGCAATTCTCTGTCACAGCATCATCGCTAAACCTTAAGAAACTAAAAATTAGGGTTTTAGCCAAATTACGGTTTTCCATGGTAGCAGTCCTTCGTCGCGGTGGCAACGCCGACGATCCTATGTCACAGCAGTGATGCTAAACCTTAAGAAATTAAGGGCGTGTTTTTTAACACAAATTTTCCAAACTTTTACTAAAGAATCGCACCTAGCCACAGTTTCCAATGGTGGCAATTTTCTGTTGCAATGGTTGCTCTAAACCTTAAAAAAATAAACCATAATAGACAAAAACTCCGAAAGACCTAACCAAAAACTTGATCAAAAAACAAAAAGCTTGACAAATTCTCAATATGTTGTCACCGAAAAATTTAGGAAATCGAATACTGGACACATCTACATGTGTGGCCACGGTCGGCGGCAATAAAAACATTAACCTTGTTGACCAAATGCTGACCGGGGCGGGTGACTCACATGTCGGTGTCCAATGTTATCTTAGAGTCAGGGTTACCGTGGTAGTGGCAATGTAGGTTGTATACATCGAAAAAGTGACGAACATATGCAATCAACCGATCTGATACTTTTAGGTGTCGTTTGATAGTTTTTGAGTGGTAGAGGATCTTAGCTCGGGGGATCCTCTGGAGACATTCGGAACCTTACATGATGTACCCAGAGAAAAAGTGGCTTTGATGCTATTCGTTAGATGATGTAATGACCGTCTCACCTAAAAGTTTAAACTATTAGGGATATGCATTATTTATTTATTTATCTACAAACGAGAATCCACCAATACGCTTCCTTACGTGCAAATGGGATAAACGACACTAAACGAAACTTGTACGTGGACAACGACAAACGAGGACGGTGGGACTCGAGTTCGAGACCTAAGGCTCTGATATCATGTTAGATGACGTAAATTACCGACTCACCTAAAAATTTAAACTATTAGGAATACCAAACGAAACTTGCATGTGGACAATGACAAACGAGGACAGTGGGACTCAAATTCGAGACTTAAGGCTCTAATACCATGTTAGATGACGTAAATGACCGACTAATAAAAAAGCTTAAGATATTAGGGATACGCATCATTTATTTATTTATCTACAAACGGGAGTCCACCAACAATCATTTATTTATTTATCTACAATCGGAGTCCACCAACACTATGTTACATTATAGGAGAATTCCTAAGTTTTAATGAAATCTTGGTCTATTTATAAGCATAATACAAAAGAATAAACTCAATTAATAACAACAAAAACATATCAATCTCAACTCATGATCATCACATAGTCAAATGTAAGGATAAGTTGATGAGATGGTATAAATCATTTTGCACCACGAAGAGAAACAAGGACAAGCCTCAACCTCAATACCTAATAAATTTTCTATACCTCAACAAAGGCTCTTTCCTACTTAATGTTTCCCTCCTCAATTTCTTTTCTTATTGCTGTTGAATTCATGCACTATTGGTTCCTCCATAAACTGACAGAGCTTTCACACTTATCTATAGGTTTTCAATCTACTCTTCAAATTGAAAAATAATATTTCAGCAACTCTTTCATTCAACCCACACTTGCTCATTTTCACCTAACTATTGGTTCCTTCACTGAACTAATCCAACATAAACTGACAGCTCCTCATACACTTGACTACTTTCCACGCTGTGTCACTTAATTCATCAAGCCAACATACTTACTAACCAGCAAAGCCACTGAACCGCATGATAGCCATTACCAACCAACAGAACCACTCAACCAACAGTGCCAACCAAAGAAGTCCTAATAGAACACTCACAACAGTCTTCAGAGTTCTGGCTTTGACAAATCCTAGTCTAAAATTTTATTTATATGATTTAATTTGACCTAATTAGGATTATAAATGGAGATTTAACCCATACTTTATGTTAGGGTACACTATAAAGGCCCTCAAAACATTAAAATTAAGACTAAATTAGCTATTGATTATTGAATGACATATGCATAGAGAATATTTTCCCCTTGTGATATCTCTTCAAATTTGGGCTGCTCCTGCTTCTGTTGGTCATTATCATATACACAAAATGGAGTATCAGACAGACTCTGAATATATATATATATATATATATATAAAGAAGCAACATAATGTGATGCATAATGGATTAAGTCAGACCTGAGTCTCTCCACTGGATGTAGATGGTGAATGGCTTGGAGTTGAAGCAGAATTCCCACTATTCTGCGGTGGGCTAGACTGTTGAGAATTTTTGCATTGCCATAATGGGACAACAGTGGATCCATTCCCAAGATTTTCTGGAACAGCATTGTCCGGCTGATCCTCCATGAAGTCTTCGGAACCATCATAAGCATTATTTAGGTCAATATTCTTGAGTTTTGCCTTTGCTTTGACCGAACTGCTTGCTTTTTCTGGAAAAAGAAAATCAGTTTGTTTTGAAGCAGATGCATATTTTGCAATTCTATCTTGATTATCAGTCCTGGTATCTCTCTGAGTTAAAGAAGATGAATCTATGGCCACAGCCGCACCAGAAGGCCTATCAGAGTCCTGAAATAAAATAAGAGTCAAAAGATAAACCAAAGTATGACAGATTTAGGACTTAATGTTCAGTTAGTACCTTTGAGGTGTGTTACCTTCCAGGATGAAATTATAACCCTTACAATTATTCCCATGGATTACATAGTCATGAATATTGCAATGTTTACTTGGGCGTGTTCTTTTATCACATTTCCTCATATTTTACTATTCACTAAAAATTTTCCCCCAAAAACATCAAATCAAACATCTATTTTTCATTTTTTACATTATACTAAAAATCAGATTTACATTCAAAACATCACATCAACCCCTATTTATATCACATCATACAACTATTCCAATTCAAAAATTTTACTATTCAAATCCCAACAAAAAATTCAAACCCCCAAACAAACACACCCTTTGTTGAATTAAATATAGGTTAATTATAGACTTTTAGCATAAATTTGGATAAATTAATCCCGCCCATACAAAAGGAATTATTTGTCCTTGATCATGGTATTATTATGTTGGGCTTTGATTAATCCTGAACTTTAATCAACCAAAGCAAACAAGTGATTAGGTTGGATAAAAAAAATATTATCCAACCTAATCTCTCCAAGTAAACACACCCTTAGAGAAGTTCCCATAGTTGTCTTCATCTCCTGCAAGTCCTGAGATAGAGGTAGAGTTCCCACAGGATTTATCTCATTAGTTGAACCAGCAAGACTGGCAAGGTCTCTTAGGAGGTGCAGCAAAACATCCTGATCCCTTGTTTGATCTGAGCCACTGGCTGCAAAAACAATAGGCGAACTAATAATTGTCAAGTGATTAAAAATGATAAAGCAAGAATAGTTTTAACAAAGAAGTAAAAAAAAAATGGCAGAAATTTGAAAAACATAGGTTAAAAACATGCTTATATCATAAAATGCACATTAAGAATTTTTTAGAAATAATTTGAAATACCAGCCCCACAAAAGAGAACTCTTTCATATGTTGAATAAAGAGTAGATGTCTGGGTTGGATCTAGCAAGCATCATTTAAAATAAACAAATCATAGTGGTATGAGAACTTAGTTTATTAAAGAATAGACACTCTTAAATTAAACTTGCCGCTCATTAAAGATCTTGTATTCTTTTATTTCCATCAAACAAACCAATACCCATAGCATTTGTTATCTACTCTACTCAGTTATTTTATGCTATTTCATTCTAAATATATACATTGTGCATTTTCAAAGATTCAATGATAAACAGCTTGCCAACTAGTAATAGTTTTAGATGCTGAAAGCATCTTGTATATAGCTTCCTGAAGACACCTTAATGTTTCCTTAACTGGAGTCATACATACAATCAGAAGCCTACTTACAGTGCATATTGGTGAGTATCCTCAGCAGTCTTATTAACAAATAATTACTATCCTGTTCAGCATTTGAGCCAATAGCATTAAGTCCAGTCTCTGGATGTGTTTTCCTCCGTCGCTTATTATGGCCTGCTAGACGCCTGCGACAACTCCGTTTCCCTTCATCAAACTCTTGAAGGAGATGGAACCTACGCATGAACAGCAGACTAAAACTCATCTGCAATAATGATGACTAACTAATATAAAATTCATGTAGTGTTGTAAACACAGAAGACAGCACAGGTGCATGATCCAGACAAGGCAACACCTTAGTAGAATACACATATTGCTAAATGTAAGTCACTAAAATCTAAGACACTGATGACTCTAACCACAGGCATAGAGCTGAGATACAAATAGGAGTAACAATCTTTGGATAAAACATCAAGTCAAATCCAAAAAAGAAACCAACCGGCTGCACTGTTGACAAAATCGCTGCATAATGTTTCCAACTAAAGCTCTGGTAGCCTTAGAATGTGCTTCACATACTTTATGTCGGCGATGATAGTCTTTGGCATCACTCAAATCGGCTTTGCAATCCTCTACTTGGCAAACTGCACGGCTAGATGATGAGCCAGAAACTTTGATCTTCTTCCCAGTCTTGTCTTCCAATTTGTCTCCTACCTCCCTTTCCCTTTCCCTTTCCCTTACCTTTTCCTTATCCTTTTCCACCACTGGAAACGTTTGCCCACCCAGCTTCAAATTAAGTGAATCCGCTTCCCCATTTAACTGTTCATCGAACCCAATGTACCTTCTCCTCTCCTCCAAATCCTTTTTTCCCCTATCATCTCCCAAATTCACTCCATTTGAACCTGAAAAGAAATTTTTGGATTCCCCACGTTTCACAGGAATATCTGTTCCAACCGGAAGAAACTGTCTGCTCCTGCAATCAGATGACGCAGGGTTTTGCGAAGCAGCAACAAACAAGTCGCCATCCCATCTCCAATCATTCAAATCCCATTCCATACTCCTTTTTCCGACGGCATTCATATCCGGCACGGCTGAACCGCATAAATCAGGCAACTTTTCACCGAACTTAGTTTCCATCCCAAAAAATCCCAAATTGAAAAAATAAGAAAAAGGAGAAGGAATTGAAACAATCTAAATTTACAGACAGAGACGAAACGTCGCTAGATGAAGCAGGAATCTCAAGAAAACCAAGCCGAATGCAAGTGAACTGATCATTTAATATCTTCTATCAATCAGCCTCACTGCAACACCAGAAATCCAAGACAAGCGCACCGACAGATCCATGGACCCAAACAAGAGCAACCCACATGCCAAAACAAGTCGTACTGCCTGCAACAACAGGAAATTACGGCCGAGTGGAATTTTACCCCCAAAGGACTACATAGACAGGCAGAGAGAGCTTAGATTTGATGAAAGAAAAAAAATAAAATTAAATAAAATAAATAAAACTCAGTACTATATACTACTCCTGATTGCTGGCCTTGTCCTTGCAGGCAGGCACGCACACCTGAGGGTTATTACTAAGAGAGATAAGAAGAGAGACTAAGTATGGTGATTGAGGAGTGGAGGTGAGATTTTATCAAAGATTTGACGGAAAAATCGCCGGCGATTTAGAGCTCCATAAAAACCTTAATATAGAAGGAAGAGAGAGAGAGAGAAGAGAGAGAGAGCCAGGACAAACTTTTCTTCCGTTTCTTTAGTTTCCCTTTTTTTAATCATCTGCCCATTTTTTCTGTCTATTAACTAAAAAGTGACGGAAGAAAACAAATGTATACGGGTCTGTTTATTTAATTCGAATATAATAGTACAAATGCTGTGAATATAAATTAAAGGTGTATTTGTTTTATGATATTGGTTTTGAGTTCACATTTAAACAGTAAAAATATTAATTTAAATAGTTGTAAATAAATATTGACACAATATTTTTAATATAAAAATAATTTTTAATATAATATAAAAAAATAAATATTTAATTTAATATTTTAAAAAAAATATTTAATAATAATAAAAATTAGAAAAATATAGCAAACCGAACGCACCCTAACATTCCATACACATATATATAATAAAGTTATGAGAAAAAAATAATAATAAAAACATTAATATTAATATCAATATAATAAAAAAACTATTAATTTTCATCTTAATATAAAAAATTATTAATTTTAATTTATTATAATACAAATATTTTTAATCGATTTGTCTGCTGTATAAAAATATTTAGTTATATTTGTTATACTAAAATTACATGTATTTGTTATAAACATGCGGTCGCTGAGGCGAGGAGTGAGGTTAAAATGCTGTGATGAGTGAATATAATAATTATTATTATTTCTACTAAGGGTGTGTTTGTTTGGGAGTTTGAATTTTGAGTTGAGATTTGAATAGTAAAAATTTTGAATTTGAATAGTTGTATGATGTGATATAAATAGGGTTTGATGTGATGTTTTGAATGTAAAATTGATTTTTAGTATAATATAAAAAATGAAAAATAAATGTTTGATTTGATATTTTTGAGGGGAAAAAATTGGATAAACAGTGGAAATCCACCAAAATCCTTCGAACAAACACACCCTAATTAAACTAATTAACTAACTGACCAACTGACACACACCCATCATTTACCAAAGCTTACATTTATTAGATTTTTAGATTAGCTTAGCTTAGCTTGCCAAAACCATAACCAATGCCATGCCATCCATGTCACCTTTTAAACATAAATAAATTTTAAATGCATAACATTACATGCAATTTTTCCTATCATTCATGACTGAAATTAATTAAATTGATTCACTAGTTTCTCGGTGGATCTCGTATCTACCTTACTTATTCTTTTTCTTCTTCTTTTCTAAATAATTAATTAATCAATTGTACAAAAAATCAGCGCGCAATACTTTGAAGCTCTTCTGCACCAATTGTACAAATAATATTTTTTTATTAAATATTGACTTGTATAAAAGAATATAATATAAATATTAAATATATTGAAAATCGTATTAAGAAAATTGATTAGTTGAATAAAATCTTGGGTGTGTTCTTTAAATTAAAAAAAAAATATATGTTTTATTAAAAAATATTAATATATTATACACCTTCATTACTTTTAATTCTCTGTTAAATTCTTCACATAAAAAATACATTCTCAAATTATCTCAAAAACAGATACATCCTAGGTAATTAAATTAATTTTTTTAAAAAAATTAATAAATAAAACAAATTAATGAATAGACAGACATAGACGCATACATACATACACAAACTTAAGGAAAGTTGGAATCCACAGTGTTTATTTAGAAAGTGTCTTTAGTCCCACCAAGTCGGAAAATGCCACTTGGCTTGCCTTTTACTTAATTTTATATTATTTAGTATTTAAAAAGAAAAAAATCTTGTTTAGTTATGTTATTGAAACTTTATATGAAAATTCTCGTATTTCATTTTTTTTTTTTTTTTGTATAATTAGTTCTCCAGCACCAATGCTGCTTATGTGGCATCCGCACAGCTGGTCGAAACTTACGTATCTGTTAGTTAGACGTCACTTGGCAAATAGATGTATTTTACAAAAAAAACAAAAACAAAAACAAAAAAATTTAAAAATTTTTAAAAATTAAAAAATATATTTTTAATTAATTAAACAATTCCACGTGTCCACCAAGTGGCGCCTACTTGACGTACATATGTACTCTGGTGTGTTATGCAGATGCCATGTGCGCATCTCCGGCGTTGGAGGAACAATTGTGCCAAAAAAATTAACTTGTTCAATTTTTTATGAGGAATCAAACTCATAACCAACTAGAAATTCAATCAAGAATTTTATCATTAAACTATGTTTTGATTTTGATCTTTATTTCATTAGTAATATATATATACATATAAAATATATAATATTAATTTTGAAATTCGGGCCATGCCACCTTAATGGAAGGTATATGTATGGACTAAAGATCATGCATATAGGTTAAATGTCTGGTTCCCTTGTTTCATTCAGAGCAACATCAATAATGCGAATTTCAAATCCCTTTTTAATTGCACCGAGACTAGTTTCTTAAAATAAAAAAAAAAATAAATCACACAACGGGCATGAAATTGAGTCCATTTTGTCCATGCCTCTCCCAACCAGCCTGGGACACTAGAGGGTCAGTTCACAGTACTTTTTCTTTTCTCTCTCCTTTTTCTTTCCTCTCTCATTTCTCTTTCTTGCCTTTCTCTTTCCTCATCCTAAAAGCAATTTTCTTGGAAGAACGATTTTGTTCTTCTTCGTTGGACGCCGCTGCCACAATGGTTGCCGTTGGGATATTTTTTCACTAGCAATCGTCTTCATCACCGGCTCACTCGACACCTCAGTTGGTTGAAAGTAAAATAGGTATGTTCTTTTTAAACTCGAAGAAGTTGATCTTAACATTGAGGGTTTATGGTTTTTGCGTGCTTGCGTTTTGTTTTACTCAAAATCTTTTATGTACTAAATCTTCCAATTTCCCCAACACGATTCAACCCTCTGAAATTAGTTTCGACTGCGCGTCAATATTGCTCTTTTTGTTATTTTAAAATCTGTGAATCGGCCGTAATTGTCTTCTGTGTTTCTCATTTCATTTTGATATATCAATTTTTTGTGTGCATTTACTGTTTGGTTGTGTGTTTTCTGGTCGATCGATACGATATTGGTTTTGAGTCATTCGTCGACTGAATTCGCTTATGAATGAATTAATTTGAGGGTTCCAATAAATTAAAGATCTGGGCTGAAACTAAAAATTAAATTAAAGTTGGGATAGTAGACTGCTATTGAATAAGATGGATATAGTGTCTACTATATTTGCAAATTTTCAATTTTGAGAGTAACTACAATCTAGCTCGAACAGTTATGGGCAAAACAGTGATTCACAAATTGTTATTGATACGTTGATGAATTTTGGGGAATATAACAGTTGTATCTCCCAACCTCAAAATGTTTGGGCGTGTTTTTATTTTTCATTTTTGAAGATCAATGTTCCATTTCTCTTTGAATGCTGCAATTTAAATTGACAAGATTGTATAATCTAGTTTTCCTGGTTACAGTATTCAGTATTTGTGTTTTTACGTTTTATGTTTATTATTGCGTGCACAAGATTTGCAATTAAATAAATTTATTTCTTATCTAGGTTTGAGCAATGGTAGATGAAGATGAAAGCCAGGGAAATGACGAAGTACACGAGATAAATGATTTATCCCAATCAAGCAACAAATCTTCTATAAAACCTCCCAATATAGTCCACTACACACAATTGAGTCCCAACTTAAGTCAACAACCATTTGTCGTCCCAAATCATTTTAATATGAGTTTCGGCTATCATTTCTCACCAATGCAGTAGTACCCTCAAAACAGTGAACCTTTATTCTACCCAAACATGTGGATGTAATGTCGTCTGGTGTTCCATCTCAGCTACCATACCACGAAACTCAATCATCCTAGGCTGTTGCATCACCATTTAGCCCACTTCGTCCACCGATCAACAGTCAAGGTTCTTCGCAAGTCAACAATCGTGGTAGGTCGGTAGAGAACAACCAACGCTCAAATAAAAATTGGACCACAGATGAGGATATAGAGCTGAGCAAAGCATGGTGCAACGTGACAACTGATGCGCGGGTTGGTGTTGGCCAAAAGAAACCTAGATTGTGGGAGCGGATATACAAGATTTTTGTTGTTTTAATGGAAGAAAAATATAGGATAAACAGGCTTGAAAATCAGAGGACTCCCAGTGGATGTGAGAACCGATGGACGGAGATTCGATCGCAATGTACCAAATGGACTACCATTCGTGTCTAAGCACAACCACAATATCGTAGCGGTTGGAGCCCATTAGACTTGGTAAGTCACTACTTTATTGGTATTACAGTTTTTACTTGTTAACTTTGTATGAATGCTTTATATTAATAGTAGTTGTGTCATAGGAGAGCTATTGTCAACATACGTTTGTTGAAAAATACAAGATGGTCTTCAAGTTCGAGTCATGTTGGCATGTCGTAAAAGATCAACCAAAATGGTTAAAATTTGTTGTTGGTAAGAAAAGCAAGACATCCGATCGGCGCTCTGAGGTTGAAAAGGAACAACCCGAAGAAACACCTATAGTTGGCAATGTTGATGAACCTTCTCCAAGGGCCCCAATTGATTCAAGTACTGGTAACAGACAAATTGGTCAAGATGCGAACACAGGAGCTCAATCTTTGCCAGATTTAGACGGGCCTGCTGCAATTGATTTAGAATGCCCAACCGGTTTCGAACGAGCCAAAGCTGGTGACAAACCAAACAATCAGAAGAAGCGTAGATTAAAAAGACTTGAAGAGTCTCAGGCTTCGGTAACCAAAAGTATCACTGCTAGTCTAATGACTATGGACTCCGCGAGTCGTGAAAGGTGGTCAGCATCGCAGACTTTTGAAAGCCAAAAATAGCGAAAGAATAATGAACGCTATGTACGCTTGTCGATAAGAGCTAAGAATGAGGTTATTTGTATATTTTTGTCCAAGATAAATGTTTTGTTTAACTTCTAGTATAAGCCCACATAAATATCTTTAAAAATATTGATTGTTCTTCTGTTAGCATAAAATAAAAATGGCTCGAGAAGCTGGTTTATTGACCAAAGAGCTTGAGGATATCGGCGAAAAGGTGATCGCAACATTGGAAAAGCTTAAGGAGCTGGATCCTAATAATTTGGTGACAGAGGTAGACGTAAGACGCTATGCAATAAGAAAACAAATGGTCGAGAATTACTAAGCTACTTTTGAAAGTGTGTACGCATGTGTGCAATCTTTCTGTAAAATATTATTTGTTCCTAACTTCTATTTTATCATTTTATTGTTTTTTTGGTAGCGATCCTTGAAACCTTGACTGCGAGTCGGGCGGCGGGTTCGAAAGACACAACGGAAGTTGGGCCAAAAGTCATACATGGTGAGAGCGTTTGTTCAATGACGAAAATACTACTGAACGTACTTAGGGGGCGTTTGGTACAGAGAATGAAATTGCAGAGAAATGAGAGTAGAGAATGGAATTGGAGAGAAAGGGAATTTAGGAGAGAATGAGAATTAATTCTCTTGTTTGGTATAATAGAGATTTCAGTTGAGAAATGTAAAAAAAAAATGAATGGATCGGACAATAATAAATGATTAATCTAACAAAAGAGAGTTTTAGCAAGTGAGAATCATGAAAAAATATTTATGGTGACTTTTCTTAAAACAAAAAATTATAAATTATATACGAAGTTTTGTAAGATCATATTTTAGCATAAATTTTTGTAAAAAATTAAATACTTGAATGATAAATTAATAATAATTTTTGTAAAACTGAAATAATATAATATAAATAATTATAAAAATTAAATATTACAAAAAAGAATTAAAAAAATAAAAATATATATACTGGAACATCATTTCTCTCAATTTATCTGAATATAGGAGATAAATGAAAATGATTTATTTATCAACTTCCATTTCTCTTACTCAAACAAACATTCCATTTCTCTTCTGCCAATTCTCTGTACCAAACACACCCTTAATGACACTACGGTTGGATTAAATTGAGATTGAGGGAACTATGTTGATGTTTTGTTGTTTGTTTATAATGTCCCAGGCTAGACATTATTGTTGGAATTTGCATATCTGATGTGGCTATTGTTGTGTGGAGAATTGTGTATATGTTTTAAATGTTAAGTGTAGAGTCGTTTATCTTTTGGGTGGTAACATAGTATGTTCTCCGAATACACATTTTGCCGGAGCAATTAGCAGACAACAACATTTATTTTGATATGCTAATGTTAACGTGCATGTTTTGAATATAATTATTTGGTTCTGCTTAGTTAAAGTTTTCGGGGTGGTTGATGATGATTTGATATGCTCTCAAAGTGTTTGGCTTTGTTTATTTAACATTTGTGTCACAATCCTGATTTTGAAAAAAATATCATCATATTATTGCATATATTTGTTATAAGCCATCATATTAAATGAAACATATAATATTAGCATTTAAAGAGCTAGAATTAATATTTATCTTGAACTGTTGGAAATTATAAATAATGCAGACAAGCACAAATTCTTTTAAACAAAAACCATGTCTAAAAAAACACAACAATAGATTGTATGATACTTTCATGGTATAAGATCAGAATACACCCAACAACTAAGGTTTGCAACAGAAACTAAACAATCATGTTTGGAAAATAAGTAAATAAACAACATTACAAAATTGAATCTTGTGGACAGAAACTCAAAAACACATTCATGCCATTCTGATCAAACTTCTATTATTGCACAATTGAGTTTGGTGTATATTTTTACTTCTTTTGGAGCGCAACTATTGTTTAAAGGCAAAGGGCATCCCATGACCGGCTTTGCATTCCCCGTGCTGTCTTCAAAAGATGGAATATCTGATACATTATCACATATTAAAGGTCTAATTAAATAGGACATTGAAAATAGAATACCATAGCACAATCGCAAGAGCATGCGCCTCCTAAGGCTCACTATAAGCAGTCTTGAAAAACACAATATTAGTTTTTCCTTCGGTATAAAATTTACTACTTCAATTTCCTTTTGCAAGAGAGTCTCGCCTCAACAATCATAAGAAAACATTGAACTACTTCCTCGACATCAAAATTTCACATGGCAGGTTGTGTCTTCGACACAAATGGCAACACCATTTCAATAGATGTAAATAATGAACTCAAAAAACCAAAAAATCTGTAAGCGCTATGGAAAGGTGTTGCACATGCAATGCTTTTATAAGATGACCATTTAACATTGCAACAATTCACCCAATCTCATACACATTTATTAAGAACATATTTACAAATCCAAATCCGTGAAAGCTATAAGCCCTAAGGTAGCAAAAAGTTTTGAAATCCATACCAACCTTTCAATTAAATAAACAATCATGTTTGGAAATAAAGCAAGAAGGCAGACATCAGCATTTCAAGTAAATATTAGCATGCATGTTCAAGCATTGATCCGCTTCCGTAATGGCCTTAGACAACATAAAATTACTCTTCGTCTAGAACAATCAGACAATGTAGGCAAATATTTTGTTCATCATAAGCCAAACAACTATTGATAACTTTCTGTCTTACTATTGGATTGCAGCGAAGATAGATGCAAAATGTAATAATTTTCTTATTATCTGCTAGGCCTTAAAATTATGAGAATGTCTCTGCAGCGCTAACAGTGTAAAGTCAGATAAAACTATGCTTTAACGTTGCAATGATTCTAGTCATAAGAATGTGTTGTGTTGCTTTACATAATTAATGTAGTAGTATGCAACTTATACATGTTCGCCACCGTAAAACATCTATTGGTGATTCATAAGATCTTCCCGCAATCGATCATTTACTTCCATGTTGCGGTACAAAAGACGGACTTCATCGACGGTTGCATAACCCATTGGCATGCTTTGATCTTCTTCCGTTGGAGGTGTCCATTCCGGTAAATCTTGGCCACGTTCATCTTCGACAACCATGTTGTGCAATATAATACACGTAGTTATTGCGCAAAGCAAGTCGGATGTTTGCCTTAGCCTAGTCGGCATCTGCAAAATACGCCATTTCTGTTGCAAAACACTGAAAGCCCATGAAATGTCCTTACGACATGCTTCTTGCAACGTTGTGAAAGCTCTCTCCTTGGCAGTCACAGGAGATCTCACCGCCTGCGTGAATACGGCGTGCCTAGGATATATACCATCTGTCAAGTAGTATGAGAGGTTATAGCGTGTTCTATTCACCTCGTATTCGACTGGAGGTGCCGTCCCATCCATGTATTTATTGAACAATGGAGAATGATCCAACACTGTGACGTCGTAGTTTGTACCGGGCATACCGAAAAATGCATGCCAGATCCATAGGTCTTGAGAAGCAGCAGCCTCCAGGATAAGTGTTAGATATCCAAATCGGTCGTTGTATTGCCCTCTCCAAGCAACAAGACACGTATCCCACCGCCAATGCATACAGTCCAGGGAACCTATCATACCCGGAAAAATTAAATTCGTCATCCTCGCTCTTCATCAATGAGGCAGCCGAAAATATTAAACTGGACAACAATTTTCAAATCGAAGCAGACGTTTGAAAGTTACACTGAATATCAAAACAACAAGAAAATGAGCCCAAAAAACTTAGGAGTTGATTATTAACCGAAGCATATATTCTAACATACACTTGTTCTTACCCTTACAACCAATAATCAACAAAATGATGCCTATCTCTATACAACCTTTGGTTTCCTATATTTATCACCTCTCGATCACATGTTATATATATAGCTGTAAGGTTGATATTTACATCAACTTTGGGGACCACTTGCAAACTTTTTATGACATTATATCTAACATTGCAGTACCATATCTTCATTGAAGGGAAAACAAAGTATTCTATACTTCAATCATTATAATTCTTTGTTGATGTGCCTCATCGAAGAATATCTCAACAACTTCATGGGCATCATTTCATAGGCTTGAAATACAAGCAGCAATTCATGATAAACGGGAATAAGTCTGCAAAAAAGATTTCAACATTCATAATGATTATAAGTTGAACAACCCAAAAATGACCTTTTGCAGGGAGAATTTGGCAACAGACATCATATATATTACCAATTGTATAATTTGTGAATATATACTTCATTTTCTCAAGCAATTCATAGCTTGTAACTCCATACCTATAGTATTCTATAGTGACACAATTGAGTGATTACAAATAATAAATAAACTAACATTCTTACATTATGGTTATTGTAAGATCCACAAATGCATCATTTGTACCCATCAATTAGGCGAACAAACAATCTGCAACTCTGTCGCCAGACTCTTTTGTAGTCACTGCAGGCATAATTATATAGGCTTTAATTAATAAACACATAAAAAAAATACTCCCTCCGTCCCAATACAATAGTCCTATTTACCATTTTTGTCCGTCCCAAAACAATAGTCTCATTTTCATAAATAACCATATCACTATAAAATTACCCTTACTTTTTCATTATTATTACACAATTGCCACTACTTTTTATACTAATACACTCACAAGATCAAAAAAGTCTTTTACCCATATTTTTTACCCACTATAAATATAATATCAATATTCCTTAAATCTCGTGCCAAACACAATCCAGACTATAGTTTTGAGACGGATGGAGTAATAAATAAGACACTTATCACAACAGCCCTTAGGTCACCAAAAATGGATTAAAATCAATAGATTACCTTAGTAGGAAGTTGTTCCCTTGGTAAACATAACTAATGAAAGACCAAACTGAATCGGTAGTCATACATACGTGAAATAAATTGAAAACAGTCTTGTAAACTTCTAAACAAATGCACTAACAACAAAAGAAATGATAGTAGCTTTAATAACTTCACAACAATAATAGCATCAATATTAACACAATATGAAGAGTCTTAGATTACGTACACAACTAGTAGGTTTCTTGCTTACATATACAACTACGAGAGTATTATCCAAAATTAAGCATAAGGAATCACAAACAACACACTAGAGTGCTTTTCTAATACACAAATCGTTCTCGCAAGATGCTGGTCTTGTCACTTTAAGAACAAACACACAAGGATTATCATACATATTACATTATTTAACACCATCATGTAACATAGCTTGGAGATTTTCTCAATTCGATGTTTCTTCATGCTGCACAAACATGAACACCGAATTTCATTATTCATACATGGGTGCGCTGATGTTGCACTACCCTCGCTAGTGTAAGAATATCTTTCATTATTCGTATGAAAGCTGCGGTTTGGGCTTCGAGCCTCAACGTCTGCCCAAGCTAACCAATTGTCACAAGGTTCGCACTTGAAATACCTTCTTCCTAGATTTTATTCGTTTCTTGATATCTTAATGACACCCTCTCTACCACAATGCCATATTGGCGCCATTGAAGCTGTATATATTGATTAGTATAACAAAAAGTTCAGAGAAGCAAATATTGATTCTCCTAGCCCATCTGTTTTTGGAAACGGTAGTCTAGCACAAAAAGTTTCTATTTACATCACACAAACCACATTTGATACAATTATCCAAAGTAAATCAATAGAAAATTGCATTTTGAAATGATCCACAGTGCACTACGTTAAGACAACAAATGAAAGGAAAATATCAAGATTTAAAATTGTTAGTTGCCTAATAGAGTCACAATTTGTTTCCTATAATAACACATCCATAAGTAATGTAAAATAAAAACCCAATATAAAGCACCAATAGTTTGCAAACGGTCTTAAAGGGATGGAATAAATACCACCACAGTTGAATATAAACATAGCACCACAACATCCTTAATTGTAAATTTCGTAAACAAATAGATCTAGAAAAACATTCGAATGACAACTCAAAATCGAAGTAACAGTCACTCCCAATCGGAAGAATTCTAACAGTAATGGGATACCACTCCAATTTCTACAAATCTATATTTACAATATACCTCGAAAAATTGGTTTAACGTAAGAATATATCCGTTGGACCTCTTCTCCAAACTTCAACCACAAACGATTGGAGGACGAACACAAGATATTCAACCCTTGAAGACAAAATCAAACTTAAAATTGATAACAGGGAGATAGAGAAGAAAAATTGGGAAAAAATTAGCTGTTTTTCTTACCGGAGTGCGAGGGAAGCCTGTTGGACGCGATTTGCTCGTCGCCGATGTCTAGATCTCCAAGAGAGGATGGACGATCTCGAAAATAAACCCAATATGTGGCATTTATTTGATTTTTGGATGATTGGACAATTTTTCCCTGACATGTGTATAACACGTAAGAAGTTGAGGCTATTTTTATCATTGTTGTTGCTCTCATTGTTAACTGTGATTCCTTGAAGCAGATGGCTGCAATTGCTGCCTTGACTTCCGCCCAAACATGAGCATTGTAGTGAAAGCTCTCCGGCCACTGTTGAATACTCGATCTGGACCCCATGGTGAAGCACCATAATCTGAACTCTTCCTTTGTCGCTTGATACTTTATTTGTGCTGTAACATTGGAAACAAGGGACTGACTTGGAGAGTGTTCCTCTTTGACTTATAGAGTCGGAAATGAGGACGTTTTCTGGTAACTGAAAAGGCTATTCTATTCTATCCTATTGATACAATTGATTGTGTATTGAATTTTCTTCCCATGTGTGGACCCAGGAGAAATTTATACTAGGCTGTTTTACAAGGACAAATACCCAATTTCAAATATTCAGACCTCCCAATGTGTTTGTGTGTAGAGACTTTGGAGAGGAAAGTGCTCATCCCAAAAGTTTCAAATTTTACAAATGATTTTCTATAGAAATCTAACCCTAGGAAGTAGTAAAAGTTGTGCTGCTCAAGGAGTGCAAATGGCCAATAGCTTTAAGATACTGTCTTTGGTTCGTCCCTATCTGAAAATTTTTCATAAAGTTGATACTTGGTTTCCATACCATCTAGAGTACAACTTTATGATCATAATATTACTGGGATTCTCATGTTTGGATTTTAGCTTTGAATTCATCAACTAGGCTGCTGAGGGTTTGAACCATAAGATCACGATGGATAGCAATGTCGCGATGCAGAAATAAGTAAATATAACAGGGAACAAGAAAACAACTGGACTGGAAATCAAGAGCTACAGTCATTGGGAAATGATTCAAACAAGTTTCTAAGGATGAAGTTTTCTTAAGAATCTCAGGCTACATGCATATTAAGTCTATTGCTTTAATAAGTTCTTCGTTTAGCTGCTAAACTAAACTACGTTACGTAGAAACAAGTTTCATCATCCACATAAGGACCGACACATCTCAGCACCAATATATACAAGCCTCTTTATATGAAATTAATCCACAAAAAGTGCAATCGCAATGATCAACTCACATCATATCCTCATAAACAGAAGTGCCTAGAAAGTTATGACAACAAATATAATAATTGATTCCAATCAAAAGAAATGATTTACAAGAATGAAGGTGAACAATGAGTGATGCAACCTCTAACTTTACATTGAGAAGATACAAATAGGCAGTGCTCAATCAAGAAGCAAATGCAGCAGCCCCACATAGAGTTGTCATTACCTCATTGACAATCAAATTGGAAGACACACGTGGCCATATCTGGGACAGCCAGTTACACAAAATTGCCTGTTGGCTGTGCAAACAACAATCTTCTTGCTGATGGAGCCGGAGGAGCCAATCCAGGAATATCCCTTATACTTTTGTTGTTTGGATTCACAATCTAACAGAACAAAAGCTATAATCACTAATAGTTCATCTTACCTTAACTTAACTAACAAACTAAGAAAACATGCCTAGAAGAAATGCAAGGTGCATGTTGAGATTATAACATGCAGTTTACATCTGTTAAGTAACAGGGGTTGCCAAGATTATTCCTAATTACAATAATAAAGCAAAACTTATCCAACCAAATAGGAAAACTCAAGACTATCTAAATGATTTCAGTCACAGAAAACGAAATCAGCAAGCATTTGAAATGTTGACCTGTACAGATAGATTATCTCATCGTGTTTGATTCAACTAGACTGGACATTACAAAATCCAGTATTCACTTGACCATATATTCTCATTCATAAATAAGTCACCGTTCAATTAGAATTTAGAGTCTAGGAGCATACCTTCACAACAATTATCGCAATAACTCCACATACAATCAGAAAAAGAAAAAGCATGATGCATTTATCAGTAGCCACCTAAAAACACATGAAAATTAGTAATATCAATCAATAATAATAATATCAAGCCAAAGACAAGGAAATTTCCAAATTAGGAAATTATTTGCAAACAGCAGTGGAAGTGGCAGTTTATCCAACTAAAATACCTGCCTACCGATCTCCTTAACAAGTTGTGAAGCCTTTTTGATAGAGAACTGAATTGTGTCAAGTTCATTCACAATGCGGCCCATTTGTTCAGTCTACAAACAGTCAGACATAAAACATGTATGCATTAGAAAAGAACCTGCAAATAAGAAAAGCACAGAGCTGAACTCACTTGACCCTTTAATGTTGTGGCAGTTTGGGTCCCCACTTCAATAGTTTGGTGAACAACCTGCAAATAAAAAATAAGTTTAGAATATGCAAACCCATGAGTTTGAGACTGCGCACACAAGTTCTACTCACCTGTTTAGAGCGTTCAATAGCTTGGTCAGTTTCATGCATTGTGTCATTTCCAGCCTTGATAAGTTCCTGGTTAGACATTTCTACACCATAAAAATAGGGAAAACAGTTAGCAGTGGTTATCAAGTGAGAATGACTATCCAATTACCAACATAGTAAAAAATTGATAAAATATATCAGGATATTGATTCTCATTTGTTCTCCCTCTTTTTATTTTGCATATCATGGGAAACATGTTCCTATTGTTATTTTGATTAAGAAGAAAGTAATATAAATTGTGTGATTTTTTTTCATCTTTGTAATCCCTCGATCAGCTATAATGGGAATGCACGTGTTACAGATAAATACATCAAATTTTCCCCTTTGATATGACCAATAATGTACTATACTAGTATACTGTATTATTAACTGAAACAGACGCTTTTAAATTCTGTGACTCTCGGAGGATTGCAAACAAAACAACTTGTCCGTGTACCTCACACCAAAACGGGCTATCTGAGCTCAAACACAATCATATCACATAGGATATATGCACCATGGCGATTCATATGCATGTTCCTACATTTTATTCTTGAGGGTGTTGCACCAACTGCATATCTTCTCATTCCTTTCTTGTGCATTAATAAATCACTGTTCTATCTTTTACTTCATATTTTTTGGTCCTTTTGTTCCAACTTTTGTCCAGGTCATGATCATAAATCATTCCATCAAGTGTATATTGCTCAGACACTCTTGTCCACAATAAAGAATTCATGCTGTAATCCTAAAGCTTCCCAATCTTACATATCTGAGGCCCTTGCATTCTGTTAAGTCTTAGTTGATTACTCCAAAGAAACTACCTCTCCAGTAGCCCAAATGGATCATCCTCATTTACCCATCCCAGCTTCTTTGACATCCACTATTGTCAAAGTACCGGCTAAACAAATCAAGGTGTATAGTCGATGTGGGTGTCAAGTATCTACACCAAATGTAGTCAAGTCTCGTTCCTCTTCCCTGCATTCTGTGAAGTTTCAAGCACTAAGTATCAATCATATCACACTTCCGGCATTTTTAGTTAGCCAGTTATAACAAAAGCCTCAATCTATTCACATGAATTTTCTCTTGATACAAAGATATATGACTGAAAATCTTGAAAAAGTTTTTTAGTTAAAGCAATGGCATCAGAAGATCTAAGCCTCCTCTGTGGGTTCAAAGGAAGAAACAGAATCCACTTCTGGACAATGCATCTATGTAGGGAGGGAACCTTGCAAGGTGTAGTTATAAAGAAAATACTGTGGAAAATTTAGTGCATATCTATATCTCACACAGTTGTGGATATATATGCTAAAATCCACTTCCTACTCATTTTGGTAATCTGAAATTCATATATATAGCCAAGAATCTAAGGGTTTGCTTTGATGGTGAGCTTGGGAGTGATTTTAGAGTAATAGTAAAAATATAAATTGAAATAGGTTTTTAGTGTGATTTTAATATAATATTTTAACAAAAATTTTTTTATTTGATAGTTTTTTGATAGGGAAAGTAATTCTCAGATTTTAAATAGAACAATAAAAAATGAAAGAAGAAAAATTAATTCTATAAAAAAACTGTTATCTTACATACAAAGATAGGAAGACTTGTATACAAAAAATCTTAATAAACATAAAAAGAAACTATCCTATATCTTATTCCATGAATCGTGGGATCATCTTGTATCTTATCCCATTAATCATGGGATCTCTAGCTATACAAAGGAAACAAGATATTTGTTTCCTAAAATAAATTGATTCATATATTTTTCCACACTCCCCCTCAAGCTAATGAATAGGTATTTTCCATTCTCAGCTTGGATACAATAGTTTGAAACATTGAGCTATTCAATCCTTTTGTTAAAACATCTGCTACTTGACCGGTTGTTGATACATAAGGCATGAAAATCAATCCGTTGTCCAGCTTCTCTTTGCTAAAATGTCTGTCAATCTCAATATGTTTCGTGCGGGCCATATTGCAACGGATTGTTAGCTATGTTGATTGCAGACTTGTTGTCACAATATAGTCTCATAGGCCCTTCCCACTTAATTTTTAGGTCTTCGAGAATAATCTAACCACAGTAGCTCACAAACACCTTGAGCCATTACACTGCTTCTGCACTTGATCGAGCTACTACATTTTGTTTCTTGCAACTCCATGTCACAAGATTTCCCCCAAGAAAAGTGCAATATCCAGATGTTGACCTTCTATCGACTATAGACACAACATAGTCTGCATCAGTGTATGCTTAAGTATCAAACCTCCATTTCTTTTGAATAAAATACCTTTTCCTGGTGTTCCCTTAAGATGATGTAGTACTCTATTGGCTGCTTGCAAATGAACCTCTTTTGGGCTGTGCATAAATTGACTGATCACACTTACTGAAAATGCTATATCCGGTCGTGTGTGGGAGAGAGAAATGAGTACATCTCCAGGTCTATTGCAGCAGCATCATCTGCTGTCCCAAGTTTAAGATTCGGGTCCATTAGGGTAGCCATTGGTTTTATGCTGTCTTGCCTGTTTCATTAAGGTCTGTAACATACTTCTGCTGGGAGATAAAAATCTCTTGTTTTGAATGAGCAACCTCAATTCCAAAATAATACTTCAGCTTTCCCATGCTTTAATCTCAAATTCTTTTGCCAAACACCGACTCAATGCTTTCTTCTCTTCATCATCATTCTCTGTTATCACTATGTCATCAACATACACAAGTAAGGCCATGACTCCCATGAAGGAGAATGTTCAATAAGCAGTGTATGATTACCTTGGCTCTGTTTATATCCCATAGCCAACATAACCCTTGCAAACCTTTCAAACCATGCCCGAGGAGATTGCTTAAGTCCATATTGAGCCTTTTTCAATTTATGTCAAAGAATAGTTGAGTTATAATGTTGTTGAGATATTTTAGATATTTAGTTTTAGATTTAGTAGATTTATATCTAGATTTGATCTTATTCATAGATTAGATTACTTAGATTTGAGCCTATCGAGTATATTTTGTATTGCCTATATATAGGCTCTTTATTTTGATGATCTATAAAAACAATTTCATAATTTCTCCCCCAAAATTTCTAACATGGTATCAGAGCTCTAGGAATTTTTCTAGGGTTTTGTAGTCTTCTTCAAGCAACCTTCATCGCTGTGTTTTGTTCTGGCCTTAATTGCTGTGAATTTTTCCTTTTCACTAAGTCATGTCTGAAACCATCTCCAACCCTTTCGAAAAATTTAACTCTATTCAGAAAATTGGAGAACTGCAGAATATCCGGGCATCCAATAGGTTCAATG